TTGATGTTACACTCACCTTGGCTAACATTTTCTCCTGTGAGCAACGTAAGGTTCAAGACGTTATGAATGGCTTTCTGTTTTTCTTCCTTAGTCTTTCCACATTCACTGTGTCTCGTGAGATTATATGCATCCTGCTTATTTTCAGCCCAGCACTAAGTTTTTAAAAGGATCACGTGTTTAAAAGGCTAGTGGACAATTTGTTAGAAGATAGAAATCCTTAGATTTTGATCCTAGAGTTGAATCTTGGTTAGGGGTGAATGAAAATTCCTGTTAAAATTTTAAATTCAGTGATATAAAGTTTTAAAAATAGTTAAATACTAGTCAATTTCATTAAACACTATAGAAGTTATTTACTTTTAAGCCTGTTTCTGGGACAATTTTGCAATGATTGCCTCCCTTTATTGATTTCCTCTTTATCAGAATCCTTGAGAGGCCCCTGTCATCATTTTCAGTATCATCATCATCATCATGGAACTGATTCCTCTGGAAGATTCTAGGAAAATAAAGAGATGGGTGGGTTTATGTGTAGGTCAGTGTGTGCATATACAACAAGAACAGTTGTCAGACATTAGATGCAAGATACCCATTTCATTTAGATAAGAATTTGGTCATGAAATCCTGATGTGGTGAATGAAGGAAGTGGTGGGAACAGGATAGTCAGTGGAAAGGAGGAGGAAGTGAGCAAAGTGGGGAGCATAGATCCTTGATTAAGTGATCAGCACATTGGTGAGATTGAGGGGAGTGTGATGGCAGAATCATGTCCCTCCCTGGCCACAGGGTAGCCACCTGTGACATGTTACTGTACATGGCAAAAGTGATGAGAGATATTTTAGGACAAAAATCTCAGAGGATTTCTATCTCCTAAATTGTCTATTAGTTAGCATTTTAAACCCATGATACATTATTAAAGATTAGTGCAGGGGCACAAATAAAACATATTCATATAATCTCACCAGGCATACTGAATGTAGAAAAGCTAAGGAAGAAAAACAAAAAGTCATTCATAAGTGCCTTGAACCATAAATTGTTCATGAGAGGAAATGTCACACAAGGTGAGTGTCACAGCCATGTACATAATGCCTGAGTGGGATGGGAAAAGGAGATCCTTAGATGAGACAATAGGGTGAGTAGCCTGGATTGTCCAGGTGGGCCCAATGTAATCACAGGGGTCCTTAAAATGGAGGATATTTCCCAGCTGAGTTTAAAATCAGAGGGATGCGTAGCCATGGAACAATATTCAGAAAGGCTGCCGACCATGAAAATGGAGGAAGTCGTGGGGCACATGCTAAGGAAGGTGGATGACATCTGAAAACTGGAAAAGAAAAAAACTAGGAAACATTCTCTTCTAGACTCTCTAGAAGGAAGGAACACTTCTGGTAA